CGGAAGTTCACATGCAAGGCAGAGGTGAAGTAAGGAACTGCTTATGAGGTTTTCCATCCATTCCAACAACTAAGAGATAGTGAGAAGAGTTGGGATCAGATTTCTTGTTCATAGAGTCACTTTCAGTTGTGGACTTGACAACATGTTATAACAACATCTCTCTACTGCATCTATTCCTCATTCAGCTATTAAGGACTTTTTGTGAATGTCTTAGCCAAAAAAGGGTTTTTACTGGCATTTCTTTGCCCATATTTGACTTTAAAATAAGGCTGGTGTGAAGGATGAGATACATTGCAATCTTTATAGTTATGTGAATGAGGAGATTAAGTGGTCAAGGAAAAGATCTCATATAATATTTAGTCAATTGAAAGAGACTGACTACAGAACAAAACAAAACACAGTAACAAAGCCTGGCTGTTATGTAGAAGCTATATCTGTCTCAGTGTTATTGGTGTGTTCAGGAGCTTTGTTTTCAGCTATCAGTGCTTAGAAATTTGATTTTATTCATTAATTCAGCAGTGGTTAAATGACTGATACTAATCAAACTTGAAGAAACACAGTTATTATTTCACAATGACCACAATATATTAGGCATACTAATTGGAATTAATTAATCTTTGAATGGTATTCAATTTTCATAAATAATTTTTAAAATTATTATAAAAATAATTTCTTAAAAAGAATATTATAGTCTATTTTTATAATATATAATCTGGAGGACAACCACTTGGCTAACTGATTGGAAGAGATCTATATTTGTTCCCATTCCAAAAAGGAGATCCAACAGAGTGTGGAAATTATCGACCAATATCATTGATTTCACATGCAAGCAAGATTCTGCTGAAGATTATCCAGAAACGACTGGAACAGCACATCAACAGAGAACTACCAGAAGTCCAGCCCGAGTTAAGAAGGGGTCATGGTACTAGGGATATTGTAGCTAATGTTAGGTGGATCTTGGCTGAAAGCAGGGAGTACCAGAGTAATATCTATCTTTGTTTCATTGATTATGCAAAGGCGTTTGACTATGTAGATCACAACAAACTGGCTGACTGAGGAGAATGGGAATTCTAGAACACTTGATGGTGCTTATGTGAAACCTGTGCTTGGACCAGGAGGCAGTCATCAGAATAGTGCAAGGAAACACTGCATGGTTCAAAATTGGGAAGTGTGTACACCAGGGATGTGTCCTGTCTCCATACCATTTCAACCTATATGCTGAACAGTTTATCCGGGAGGTTGGGCTGTATGAGAAGAAGTGTGGCATCAGGATTGGAGGAAGATTCATCAACAGTCTGCGTTATGCAGATGACACAACCCCGCTTGTTGAAACTGAGGAGGACCTGAAGTGCTTGCTGCAGAAAGTCAAGCAAGGACTGAAGCTGTCAATATGGATTGAGGGCTCAATATCAAGAAAATGAAGATTCTCACCTCTGGGCCAATTAGCAGCATCAAGATGGATGGTGAAGAGATTCAGATTGTTAACAGCTTTGGTTTGTTTGGCTCCACAGTCTTGACACCAGCAGCCAGGAAATGAAAACACGCATTGTGATGGAAAAGTCTTCTGTCAGGGACCTCTCCAAAGTACTGAAGAGCAGTGGTGTCACTCTGGAGACTAAGGTGCGTCCGATACAGGCCATGGTCTTTGCAGTCACTTGCTATGCATCAGAGAGCTGGAAAATGAGTAGGGAGGATAGAAGGAGACTTGATGTCTTTAAGCTGCAGTGTTGGAGAAGAGTGTTGAATATTCCATGGACTGCTAAGAAAATGAAGAGGTTCATCCAAGAGAGTGTTAAACCAGAATGCTTCTTGGAGGCAAGGATTCTAAAGCTTCATCTGACATACTTTTGACATGTTGCAAGGAGGGACAAGTCCTTGGAGAAGGACGTCATGCCTGGGAGGGAGGAGGGACAGCGCAGGAAAGGAGGAACCTCTATGAGGTGGATTGATGCAGTGATTGGGGTAATTGGGGTGGTTGTGTTGGAGACAGTGAGGTTGGCACAGGATAGAGCAGGGTTTAGGGCTGTTGTGCATAGGGTTGCTGTGAGTCACACGTGACTTGATGGCACATAACAACAACAATAAAAAAATTATATTTGACGTTTCCCAAAAAGGAGCCATGTTTTACAATGGCTAAAGTGCTTAGCTGCTGTCAAAAGGTTAGCAGTTCAAACCAACCAGTGCTCTGTCAGAGAAAGACATAGCGGTCTGTTTCTATAAACATTTTCCTGCTTTGGATATGTGTTGGAGACAGTTCTATCCTGTCCTTTAGGATTGTTATGGGTTGCTCTGAGGTGGAATTGACTTGATGGCAACTGGGCTTTTTGGTTTGTTTATGTTTCCCAAGAACTTTTACATTCGTAAATGGTAGGTTGTAAAAATAGAATTGGGACAAATCTAGTTATGTAGTCTTTTTCTATACTCAGGTTGCATGCAAAGAGCTCTGCTTGTGTAGTGTGTTAGGAATGGTGCTGCTGAAGGAAAGGCCAGCAGTTCACATGCATCAGCTGCTCCTCAGGAGAAGGCTGGGCAGTCTCTTCTCATAACAATTTACAGCTCCAAGGGAGCTCTGGTGGCCTAGTGGCAAGAAGCTGTGCTGCAATACCGAAGGTATATGGTTTGAATCCACCAGATGCTGTGCTGGAGAATCTCCTCCTGTGCCAGTCAGATCCAGCTCGACGGTACACAGCAAGGAAAAAAAAATTACAGCTTCAGTAACTCAGTGGAAGGTCTCTGTGAGTCAGAGCCAAGTGTGCAGCAGTGGGTTTAAATATCATTAAAGCAGCCCTTCTGGCATAGCGTGTTACATGCTGGGCTGCTAACCCAAGGGTCAGTGGTTCAAATTTCCTAGCCACTCCAGAAGAAAAATAGTTTCCTGTTGAGATTTGTAGCCTTGGAAAGCCAACAGAGGTTTGCAGTGAGTTGGAATCTGCTCATTGCAGTCGATTTTGTTTCTCCTGGTTTAAATAAAATTAAGGTATTATGTAAGAAGATGCAAAATTCGTATTAAAGGCCTGTCTTTCTTAAGCAAAGACTTGAATTCTTGAAAACACTTTCCAGTTTTGAAAATTAGAGAGTCAGGAGATGCGAAGTATTTGGATAAAACTTTTAAAATAATTTTTCTTTTTAATAACCCAGGACGGTTGAAGATGACTTATTGCTCAAAAAGCCGTTTCAGAAAGAAAAACACGGGAAAGTGGCGCATAAACAAGTGGCAGCAGAGCTGCTGGACAGGTATCGTGTGAGTGTGCGGCACGTGGCTTGTTCCTGGGTTTTGAGAGTTTGGGTTTGAGTTATTTGATAAGTTTGAATTTTATAATGTTTAAAATAAAATCTGTTTTAACAGGGAAGAAGCAAGAAATAGAAGGTTTCATCTCATAGCTATGGATGCTGTATCCTTTATCTTTGTCCAGATGTTTAAATAATGAGTAGACTATTTTCAAGTGTATTTTATAGAACTTTGTGAGTCTATAAAATTTAATCTAGACAGATGTAATGTAAATAGAAAGTGGCATCTATATAAAGAGAATGTAGGATGAGAAGGATATAGGGAGATATAAATATAAAAAATAGAACTTTACATTTTATTTTTAAAGTAAGTATTTACATCTTATTTTTGATGTGTTTATTGATACAAAATTTTGCCATTTATACTTTTGGATGCAATTCTTTTCCTGACATGTAAGATACATTTAGAGACAAAAATAGTAAAACATATTGCTGGTTTTCTATCAATAAACTTAAAATACCCTTGAGCTTGTAAGTATTTTTGAAACTTGTTTATACCAGCCTCTCAACATTTCTCTTTTTTATGCTTATCTTTAGTGTCTTTTTATCTCACATCTTCCTACCTGATTCTTGGCTACTTAACATCTTTGCAAAACTCATATTTAAGATTACATTTGTCTGTGGCCTGTTCTTAGGCTTGCTGTGGTTTTACTTCTCGAATATGACTAGAGGCAGTTTTTAAGCTATATATTTTGTAGCTGTGTCTTAGCTCAACTTTTGGATAGGACTTTTTTCCCCCCTCAATTAGACACAAGTTAGTTTATGACACTATTACCATTTACCGTCCATATTTTTGTTGGAAATATTGGAGAATGAGAAGCGGTCAAGCAGAGCATGATATTTCAGTTAGATAAATCCCTCCCTATAGTCATTTGCTTCACTTTATCATTCCTAACACTTTCTTTGAGCTGTAGCAGTATTCTGCTATTGGCCTATTTATTTCACTTACTTTGTACCCAGATGCTTAGCTTTCTCATGTGCCACTTGTTTCTTTGTTGTTGTTGTTTGATGCCGTCGAGTCATAGACGACTCATAGCAACCCTATGAACGAACGGCCTGAGCACTGTTCGTACATAGAGTTTCCAGAGGCAAGCCGTTTCGGAAGTGGATGCCGCTCCTGCTTCCAGGCTTGTTTTAGTTGGGAAGCTCCAGCCAACACTGTCCACCATGGGTACCCATTACCACGATTGGCACTTCACTGTCACAGTGTTCAGCGTCACAGCAACATGAATTACCTCTGTACAGCAATGCACAGACAGTACTATACCACCTAGAAGAATGTTTGACAGGAAAGCAATTTGAACCTGCCTTTGGGCTTAGGCCACCTCCTGCCTGAAGCCCTAAGGCCAAACCTGGCTTGCCTCGCTCCCAGGGACACAGCAAACCTGCACGCCAAACACATACCTGGAAAAGCGCTCGACTCCAAAAGCTTGTCACGATTCCTGCACTCACACCACCATACTCCTTCTGCCAAGGAGCAGTTCCAGAGACCCTGGGAGGAGCCAAGAACATCTTAATTAATCCATACATGATAGATGGACGATCAGGTCTTGGGGAAATTGAATATCTCTAAGGTATAAGAGTTGATGCCTTTAAGTTGTGGTTCTAGAGAAGAGTATTGAACATACCATGGACCGCCAAGAGAACAGATAGGTCTGTTTTGGAGAGGGTGAAACCAGCTTTCTCACTGGTGGCAAGGATTTTGAAGCTCTTTCTCACATATTGCTAGGAAGGAGGACTTCATGCTTGGAAGAGTGGAGGGACAATGGAGAGGAGGAAGACCCTGGATGAGATGGATTGACACAGTGATTGGAGTAATAGGAGCAGGTGTGTCACAGACATTGAGACTAGCCCAGGGTAGGACGGAGTTCAGAGCTGTTGTACATTGAGTCACTGTTAGTCACAGGTGACTTGACGATATCAACAAAATATATGACTGATTTTAAAGTGTTTGTTTTTATCTACATTTAATATAGTGCTTTAAATGGCATTTAGTTTGTACTTTTTCTTACGGAAAAGTTGGGTGCTATGTGTATACTATCTTAAAAAGGAATTTATGACTTAAAGTAAATTTTAGATTTATTAATTTCAGAAAATGTAGGAAATAAAACAATACATTGTTAAGGGTGTCTGTGTATAGGCTACAAAATAAAACAAGAATAAGAAATATAAATTTTGATAGATAAAATAGGGTAGTGAAATAAGGAAGGAATATCCATTTCCAGATGTCAAGTTTAAGAGTGATCATATCTTTTTTAAGAACCATAAATATGTATGTTATAAATGTTCTTTCCCCCCCAAAATTATACACTTTTTATACTAACAGTTAAAACAAATTTTTTGTCCTAAAAGAGAACTCCGTGTCACTACCATTTAAAAAAAGTGTGATTTGAACATTTACTTGTTTGGTATAGTCCCAAGAAAATGCAAGTTTCCTTGAATACAAGAGCCTGTTAATAAAATATAAAGTTGATCTGTCTTAGTAATATACTTAGATCTAATTATTAACAGCAGTTGAGAGGGTGTTCAGGTATTTATTTATGAAGCAGACATAAGCGTGAGACCTTTCTAGAAGGAGATCTGGTAATGTTTGTAAAAATAGAAATAGGAGTAGATGAAAGATGGTCCCTCTGAGATGGCAGTGACTGTTCCCACGTGTTTATGTAGGCTTTTTCTAAGTTAATATCACCTGTAGAAAATCTGTAATGGAAAGTGTCTGGAAAAATCCAAGGTAAAAGGAAACCTAATCTAACCTTCATTTTATAGGTATGAAGCTAAGGCTTTAAGACAGGACGTGTCAAACTACATGTAGCCTGTGGACCAAATGTAGGCCACCACAGATTTTTTTTTAATTACAGATTTATACACAGTTATTAATAAATAATACAGATAGGTCCCATGTACCTTTTATCTGTTTTCCCCAAATCCTTTAATATTGACAACCAAAATATTAAATTGACATTGTCAGGGTTATAGAACATTTCTCACTAAAATGAAACCTCTTGTCGCCTGTTAAAGCCACACCTAGTTCCTTCTTGGATGTACCTTCTCTTAAACCCTAGTAATATCTAAGCTTTCTCTACTTCTTTCATTTGTCATTCTTACATGGAATGTAGCAGAAATTAAATGTAACATGGAATGTTACATAAATTAAAACATACAGCATGTAGGCTTTGAGATGGGCTTTCTTCTCCTATTACAATTCTCTGAAGATTCGTTGAGATTTCAACATGTATCAATAACTCATTTCCTTTTATTGTTGAATTGTGTACTGAGGTAAGCATTATTCAGCCATTGAAAGACTTCTGAGTTTTGGGCTATTGAAGATAAACCTGCTATAAATATTGATGCATACATTTTTATGTAAACATAAATTTTCATTTTTCTGGTATAAATGGCCACAGGTGTTGGGTCATATTGTAGTTGTATGTTTAGTTTGTAAGAAATTTTTGTAGGAAAGCAAACTTTTCAGAGTCGTTAGACCACTTTGAATACCCACCAGCAATGTCTGAGTGATCCAGTTTCTCTTCATCATTGCCATTATTTGATGCTGGCTCCCTTTTGTAAAGTTAGCTATTCTGATGACTATAGAGCAATCTCTCCCTGTAGTTTAAATTTGCATTTCCCTGATGGTTAATGATGTTGCACATCTTTTCTCATGTCCTTTTTTGCCATTTCTTTGATGAAATGTTTGTCCTATCTAATTGGACTTATTGTTGAGTTTTGAGGGTTCTTTATATTAGTAGTTCTAGATACTCGTCCTTTACTCCTCTGCGGACTAGGATTGAAAATATTTTCCTGCTAGTACGTAGCTTGTGTTTTCACCTTTCACAGAGCAAATATTTTTAATTTTGATGGGTCCAAATTATCAATTTTTCCTTTTCTAGATTGTGCTTTTGTGTCCGGTTTAAGAATTCTTTGCCTAACCCTGCCTAGATTCTAAAGATTCTTTCATAATTTTTTTTCTAAGGATCTTAAGAGGTTTTTAACTTTTGCATTAAATTCTGTGATCTGTTATAGAGTCAATTGGTAGGTAAGATATTAGACTTGATTCAGGATCCCTGCCCACCCTTCTGTCTCCCCCCAAGACAGCCAGTTGCTCTAGCACTGTTGGAAGGTCCATTTTTCCTCCATTATGTGACTTCGCACTTTCTGCAACAGTGAGTGTACGTTATTTGTGTGGGTCTGTTCCTTGGTTGCCTGTTCTGTTGATCTGTGTGTCTATCCCGCTGCAGCATTTGTTATTGTTAGTTTCTGTTGAGTAGACTTGACCTTATGTAGAACAAAACAAAGCCTTAACCAGACTTGTGCCTTCTCCAGGAGTGTGAGTTAGTATGTTTGAGTCCATTGTTGTGATTTTTATGTCAATCCATCTTTTTTGAGATTTCCCCTCATTTTTCCTGACCTTTTGTTTTACCACACATTAATTTCCTTTTCTAACAATGGGTGCTTCCTGATGATTTATCTGAAATAAAAGAAGCCAAAGTCATAGTATTCTCTCCTCTAAGGAACATTTTGATTTTATTTCTTCTAAGGTTGATTTACTCATTCTTCAGACAGTCCACCACATATTCATTATTCTTTGCCAGCACCACAATATGAATGCATCCTTTTTTTTAATTGTATAATTTGTACATATTGGCATATTTTTAAATATCCAGCTGGATGTGTTCTTATATAACAGCTATAACAGCACAGTGCCTGAGAGTATAAAACCCTTAATATTTTGCATTTCAGTATCAAAGGCATACAAAGTTTATAAATGATTATATTTTGTACTATGGTGGCAAAAAGGAAGACTTCAAGCGTTTGGGGTAAGTACCATGCGATTTACAAAGATTGGGTGTGGAATGTAGATGATCTTAGTTCAAAGCTTACAGCTACTCTTTTTTGATTTGGCAGCTTTTCTCTACACTCTATGTTCCTTAATATAAGAGAAGGTGGAGGTAGTATCCACAGCTTCTGTCTACATAGTCTTTCATGAAACCCCTTTCTTTAGCAATAGGTCCTCCTTAGGCAACTCTTTACCTGTTGGCAGTCACAAAATATAGGAGAAATTAATGAGCTTGATTATGTGGTCAATTTTTTTTTTCTAAGTGATTTTGAGGTACTGAACTTTTTAGAATGTAATGTTTGGTGGTATTTTTTTAAAAGCAATACATTGCAAGAAACGTCACTGAAATATTTATCTCACACATGTATTGTTTCATACATTTGAAGCTTTTCTCTTAACACCTCTTAGTTTTTTGTGGGCTTTCTCCCCCTCCCCGACTTTTTGATTTTCAGAGGTGGAAAGGCCCTAACAAATTTTAGTACCAATTCATCCATCCAAATGTACCCCTGTATCAGTTTAGTTTATGCCTTTTAATAACCCTTTGTCCTACAACCCTTAAATTGTTAATATCTTTTCTTGAGAGGTCCTCTCTTCAACTCTCTTCCTACTTACCTCTATATTCCTAGGAAACTATATGAAGTTGGAGCTTGGAAAACTTTTATCTTTTTTTTTAAAAATTAAAGCTCAAAAGAGTGGTTTTACTGAGTTTTGGTTAGCTCGTGGAACTTATTTTTATTCACATTTTCCTGTTCGCTTAGTGTTTATTTAGATTTCTCATCCAAGCATTGGCATTTTAGCACCATTTATATAATTAAAACCATTGCTGGAGACAGATGGATTCCTTATCCATTTGTCTCGCTTCTGTAGCAGCACTCTTTATAAATGCTTTTTAGAAATACTGAAATAAGTTTTATATATGCATATATATGTGTTTATAAATATGTTTATCTTCATTTACTTTTACCCAGTTTTCAAAAAGTTTTGTAGAACTGCTTAACTTCCCAAGTTTGACTGATTATGTTTTAGCAGAAAATTTAAATACTTTTATTTTCCAGGGAAAATGACAAAACAGACTTGGATGTTATACGAGAAAATCATAAATTCCTGTGGAATGAGGAGGATGAAATGGACATGACTTGGTAATTTTAACTGTCAGAGGCATAACACATTATATATTTTAGACCGTTCTCTGTTCTTTGGTGTGTTCTTAGTCATTTGTTTAGGGCATTCAGCCCCTTAGCACCCCTTAATCTATGGTTTTATAAATTAAGACCATAAAATCATCTCTAGGACTGTGGGAGGGAGTTCTTCTGGTGGCTTACTGGTAAGGAATTGCACTGTTAACCAAAAGACAGGTGGTTTGGATCTGCCAGCTGCTGCGTGGCAGAAAGATGGACAGTCTCCTCCTGTGTGATTAGTCTCTGGACTATGAATTGTCTTGACCTTGACAGCATCTAACAACAACAGGACTGTTAGGACTGTTGAACCCGGTTTGGCGCTCTTGGTCATGATTGGTAGTTTTAACTTACTTCATCACTTGACTTTATTTTAAAAAATAATTTACCACAGTAAAACCTGAAGGAAAAAAAAATTGATCCTGTATAAAGCAGAAACTTGTCAGTGGAGGGGAAACTCATACTTTTCATTAAAATGATTGATAGAAAAGTGTTAAGACTGTACTTGTAAGACCCAGAAAAGCAAGGCAATCTCATTGAGTCTGACTCTCACAGGCTTCACTGTGTATTGCATTACAATATTACTGTTTGCTGCTTTTACAATTTTTGAAGTATTTTGAAGAAAAGTAATATCTGAAAAATGGTTTTAGAAATCCAATCCTTACAGAGCATAAAAGGCAGAGAAAAAGTTTTTCTCTCATCTCCTACTGTGAGCCTTCAGTTTCACTTCTTTGTCATCCGTAAGGGCTACTGAGTCAATTCTGACACATTGCAACTTCACCTGTATCAGAGTGCAGCACTGCCTTGTCCTGCACCACAGCCCGCCACCATCATTGCAGTGTTGGAGCCCGTTCTTGCAGACACTATGAGTTTATTTCATTGAGAGTCTCCTCTTTTTCAGTGACCCTCTGCTTTACCAAACATGTCCTTCCTCTTCCTTCCTGATAACATGATCTATGTACATGAGATGATGTCTCACTATTCTAGCTTTTTTTTTAACTATTCTAGCTTTTGACAAGCTTTCTGGCTTTACGTCTGTTGAGACAGATTGGTTCATTTTTTCTGGCATTCCATGGTATATTTAATATTCTTTGCCAATGCCATAATTCAAAGAAATAAATTTTTCTTCGGCCTTCCTTATCATTGTCTAGCGTTCACGCACATATAAAGCAATTGAAAATGCATGGCTTGAGTCATGTTCACCTTAATCCTCAAAGTGACATCTTTTCTCAGAAAACTGCTATAAAAAATTAATGTCCAGATATTCTTAATCCTCAAAGTCACATCTTCTTTTCTCCTTAGAGAATCACTGTTAATAATTAATATCCATATATTCTATGTACATGTAAGAAATAGGCATTTTTTTAAAAAAAGCATTAATATTTATATCATATGTGTTATTTATTTGACATTGCTTCCAAGAAGCAAACCTTGGTTGGATTCCTTAATGTATAATATTTTAATTTTATGGATCTAGGGAGAAGAGACTTGCAAAGAAATACTATGATAAATTATTCAAAGAATACTGCATCGCAGATCTCAGTAGATACAAAGAAAATAAGGTATGCTTTTAGAATATTTATGGAAGGATGTTCTTATTCAAGAAGACTATTAATTTTTTATTATCGTGTCCTGTCCTACATTATCCCTGTAAAGATGCTAATTCTAATCTAGGTTGTCTTACACTTACGGAGTGTGATTTGGACCATTTAACCTCTGCAGCTGTGGGATTTAGAGAAGGGTCCCTTGGACAAGGATGCTTCTTTGTTAGCTGAGGCATGAAAAGTCTAAAATTAAGCACAAGTGGCTTCTGGATCCTGTTTCATGCTGACTCTAGTCCTGCTCTTCTGAGTGGTTCTAATAAACGATTTGACATAGCCAAATGATGTTTTTTTATTCTCTCTCAAATGTTTGAAATCAATACCTTCCTCCCCGCCTCCCCCCCCCATTGATCAACATATACAAGGAGGCAAATATACTTCCTTTGTTTCATAATTATTTCTGCTCTGGTAAATTTAACTTCTCACTAATAATTAGTAACAATAGATTTTTTTTTCTTTCACTGTATCTTATTTTAGTTAAAGTTGGTTTTTTTCCTCCTCTCATCAGTTTGGATTTAGATGGCGAATAGAAAAAGAAGTCATTTCAGGAAAAGGTATTATTTTCTTTCTTTAACAAGATAGAGGTTATTTTGTTTTGTTATTGAATTGTCCTTATTGGGTAAAGTGATTTCTAAGATATACAATGAATTTCAATAAAGGTAAGATTAGAGAAAGTATACTTGTATTAGAGTAGTAAGGCTCAAAATTATAGTAATGCTATAATGATTTTTATGGAATTCATTACTTATTGTAGTTCATGTCAGATTATTTACTGTATTTTGTGCTAGAAATTTTAAAATGTTTGATCATTTATGCTAGTACTTAAAGTAGATACCATTATGTTATTGGTACTTAATTTTCCATTTTAATATTAAATAGTGAAAACAATTCACACAAAGCATAAGTGCATGTACTTTGAAAAATGCATTTGTTCATTCTATATATTTAGCGAGCACATTCTGCAGTCTTGACTTCTTCCGAAGTGAAGATTTTTTTTCTCACAGGGAGTCACTAAAACTCTCTGTCTAAATATAAATGAACAGTTTTTTCAGCAAGAGTACTGTGGCTGATTTTGAAACAGTTTTTAAACATTTCAGCTCTTTGCATTGATGCTTGTGTATAATTGTGTTTGTTGTTGTTAATAGTGGCATCGAGTAAGACTCATAGCAACACTATGAATAGTGGATCTGAACCCTTTCCTATCTGGCGCCATCTTCATCTCTGACATACTGCCTATTACTATAATCTCTGTTCTCAATCCATCATATAGGTCTTTCTTTTGCTAACCTCCCACCTTTCCTAATATGATGTCCCTTACCAATGAATAGCCCCTTCTAGCAATGCGCCCATAGTATATGAGATGAAATTTCATCATCCATCCTTGCCTTTCAGCAGCACTCTGGCTAATTATCGTCAGTAGGTATTATTGATGCTAACTTTAAAAGCTTGCATGTGAAATCAATGACACTGTTTTGTAGTTTCCACACTCAGTTGGGTCACCTTTCTTTGGAATGGGAACAAATATAGATCCCTTCCAGTCAGTTGACCAAGTGGTTGTTCTCCAGATTTCTTGGCACAACTTGGTGAGCACATCCAGGGCAACATCTGTTATCTGAAATACTTCAATTGGTATACCA